ATAACCATGCCCTGCCCTAACACAGCCCTCACTCAGCTGCAGGAGCATCCACAGACAGATCCCTTCCCTCACCAGTGAGATAATTGGAGCACAGCCCAGACTATTTTGGGATTACACCCCGTAACAAATGTTCAAACCCCCCCCCACCACTCAGAGGAAAAGCTGGAACTATCCATGAGGAGGATCTCTCACCATCCCCACCAATACTGAGATCACTCTCTGCCATCATGAACACAGGGTACAACTCGCTTGTTCCCTGATTTCCTGGAATAGCTGGTTGCCAGTGTGGACACCTGTTCATCTGGGAAACATGGGAATCATCAGCTATGGGATGAGGCAATCTGGAGTTTAAGTGACCCCTTACCAGCTGTCCCTCTGAGGCAGAGGGCACTGCCAGGTGTCTGCTACATGAGGAAGGTGCAAGAAAGGATGGAGGCTTTTCCAGTTTTCCAGCTGAGAAGAAAGGTACAGGACAGCAAAGACAAACATTTCCCTGGAAAGGTTGGATGCTCTTTCCAAGCATGTCTGCTCTAGTGCAATTAGAGCAGGAAGGGATGGAAGAGGCTGATGTCATCTAATCAGATGGAGCACTCAATAGAAACCCAGACTGTTGGAGGCTCTGGCCATCAGTCCCACCACTCCAGCATTCCTTACTCATCCCTGCACCAGTTGCTGATTCCCAGGAGAGCTGAGTGCTCAAGAAGGTCTTTGAAAGGGTCAAGATGGAGGTTGTGGCTACATTTCACAGAATCACTGAGGTCAGAAAAGACCTCTGAGATCATTGAGTCCCTCCTGTGCCCGATGCCCACCCTGTCCCCCAGCCCAGAGCACTGACTGCTTGGACACCTCCAGGGATGGGGACTCCACCACCTCCCTGGGCAGCCCCTGCCAATGTTTAACAACCCTTTCCAAGAAGAAATTCCTCCTGATGTCCAACCTGAACCTCCCCTGACACAACTTGAGGCCATTTCCTCTCCTCCTGTCCCTTGTTCCCTGTGAGCAGAGCCTGACCCCCCCCGGCTCCCCCCTCCTGTCAGGGGGTTGCAGAGCCAGAAGGTCCCCCCTGAGCCTCCTTTTCTCCAAGCTGAGCCCCCCCATCTCCCTCCATGTATTTCCATGTCCCAGGGAAAAGCAGGAACTGGCAGGCTCTTGGGAAGGGTGGCATTACTCAAGCTGATGTCTAGCTGGCAGCAGAGGAGCTATTCCAAAGGCAAGGCAAAGGAGCATCTTGTTTGGATACCTGAGACATTGAGGCAAGACTGGGAGTGGATCTGAGGAATTCTGACTTGATGTACTGTGAATTCCAGATTTCCAGGAAAGGACTCATTCTGGTACAAGCTGAAGCAGAAAGGAAGAGATGCTCCCAAGGTAAAGGCATTACACCTTTGATGTTCCAGATGGAAATAGTACCTGAAGGGAGCCTACAGGGGACTTAGGACATGGGCATGGAGTGATAGGACAACAGGGAATGGCTTCACACAGAGAGGGCAGGGTTAGATGGGATATTGGGAAGAAATTCTTGGCTGTGAGGGTGGGGAGGCCCTGGCACAAGTTGCCCAAAGAAGCTGTGGCTGCCCCATCTCTGGAAGCATTCAAGGCCAGGTTGGAGCAACCTGGGACAGTGGAAGGTGTCCCTGCCCATGGTACAGGTTTGGAATGAGATGAGCTTTAAGGTTCCTCCCAGTCCAAACCATTCTGGGATTCTATGAAAAAAAAAAAAATACACATCCCACATTCATTCTGCCAGGACTCTGCATCCCCTCAGGAATCTCAGGAGCCAGGAGGGGATAGGAAGAGGATAACCTCTCCCCACTGAAAGGAGAACACCAGGCAGTATAAGAATTTTGAATTTCAGCCCCAAAACAGCTTGGAGTGCCAAGTAATGCCAGTTCTCCATGGGTATCTGTTCCCTGGAGCTTCTTCCCCATCACCATTTAATCCTCAGCTTCTCCACAGCCTGAGGAGCTCCCTAAATCAAGCAAGATCAGCTCAAATAACAGCACAGGCCATGTTTTCTTCCACTGCTTCCACAGATGCCATTTCTCCAGCATCTCCACAAAGGAGGCACTGTGTAGAGAGACAATGAGCCAGGCCCTCAGCACAGCAGCAGCCTGTGTTTTTATCCGAGGACATCTCGGATCAGGATCCCACTCCCAGAGCAGAAGAAGCCCAGGGTCCTTCTGCTGGTCCTTCTAATTGCTACCAATTAGCCCTTAAAAACTGGGAATGGATGGGTACTTTCTGCTGGAAGTCACACCAGTAAACACACCAGTCATGTCTAGAGATGGGAGCCAGGAAAGCACCAAAGGCTTTCAGTCCATCCAGCTCCACTCTTTCTCCAAACCTCTGCAGCTTCACTACCACCACTGTGAGATCATCCAAAAACACCACACAGTGCTGGACTCCCCTTCTGGTTCCAACAGGGAAGTGTCAGACCCTCCCTGGAGCTGAGCATGCAGACCCACTTTCATAAGTCACTTTATCCTTCCCCACTCCAGATTCTGAGCTTTTATTTCCTCAGACAGGATTTCTCTTGGCTCTAGGTTTTGAAGGAGAAAGAAATGGGATATATGCAGAGTTCACTGAAAAACAGATATCGTGGGAGGAAGGGAAGTCTGGGAATCTGTTTGGATTTACTTTAAGGGAACCTTTAAACAAGCCCGGAGAGAGGCAAATCTGCTGTTGAGTCCAGTGACTGAGAGGAAAACAGAAATGCAACCACTTTGTGGAGCAGAGCACAGGATCCCTGCTTTTCAAAGGACACAAACCCCTCCTGGCTGGAGCAATTGGTAGGTCAGGCTGCCTTTAACAGACAAGATGGATTATGCACACTCTGCACCATTTGTTATCCTGCTGCCACTCAACCAACACCACATCCAACACCGACACCTTTGGCAACAGGCAGCTCACCCCTGGCTTCCAAGTGTTTATTCAGAGCAAGGAAAGGGGGGGGAAAAGAACTGAAAAAGCTGAACAACCCAATTGCTCCAAGTCTTCCATTATCATGTGAGCGCTGATGTCCTCGGGAAAATGAAATCATAACTCCCCTGGGTGACACATCGGAGCGACGGAGCGATTTCGCTGTGTGTTAGCGATTCCTTTGTGAGGCTGGAGAACAGCTGAGAGCTGCAGAGCAAAGAATCCCCACAACAACAACAAAGCTGGAAGGAAAAAGTGCTGCCTATTTATGAAACAAGTCACCAAACTGGGGAGGGCAGGCGAGCAAAAAAGGGCTGCTCGGGAGAAACTGGAGCAGAAACAAAATATTCAGAGGAGGGGAGGGGAGGGGAGAGACGAGGCTTTGAGAGATAAAGACAAGTGGACTCGGGGAAAGGAGGACAAAAATCACGGCACAAGTGATAGGAAGCCCAGAAAAGGAGGGATACACTCGGTGATAATAACAAGCAGCTCCACACTGTCCCAGCAGCGATGGTTTAGCTGGGAAGGGGCCCCCCTGTCCTGCCCCAGGCTTGTTGTCTGAAGGATCTCAGGGTTTTGTTTTGGTTTTTTGTTGGTTTTTTTTTTTTTTGTCTGACAACAAGCTGCAGAACAACAAGCCCAGTTCGCAGCGGAGCGATGGAGAGAAGGAGGGAGCGCAGCAACAATAGCAGAAGAGGCTCTGGCTGGTGACGTAATGGTTGGCATCACTCCAGGCCAGAGCAGCCCCTGCTGCTGCCACTTTCTGGTCCCCTTTGGAGAACGGGAATCAATTAAAAAAAGATGCAAAACAGTCTCCCCGCAAAGTGATCCCCCCCCCCCTGCAATGACTCTGGGTTGCAAAGAGGAAAATCCCACCTGGGGAGCAGGGCATGCCCCTGCACCCCTCAAATCCCAAATTCAGGGCATGAGCCTGTTTTTCCCCCCCCCCCCTCCCCGGGGTCTGCATTGAGGGCACAGCCCTACACCCCAACCCCCCGATGCTGGGATTCAGGGCACGCTTTTTGCTCACACCATCCCCCCCAAATTCCACCCCCCATCCCCCCTAAGGCTTGATTCAGGGCACAATTCCTGCATCCTCCCAGCCTGTACCGAAGTCTATACTGAGGGCTGCATTCAGGGCACAGTCCCTGTGCCTCCCCCCACGCCTGGATTCAGGGCGCATCCCTGCATCCCCCCCAAGCCTGGATTCAGGGCATATCCCTGCATCCCACCAGCCTTTCCCAAAGCCAACACTGAGGGCAGACCCCCGGCATTCCCTCCCACCCTCACCTGGACAGTCGCACCTCCATCCCCACCCCCCCGCTCCATCCCACCCCAGAGCCTTGGCTCCGGGGCACTCCAACTTTGGAGAGGCGGCTGAAGACCAGGTTCCAACCCCGGTGTCCTGCGGGACGGGGGTTTGCGAGGGAGGCTTTTCTTCCCCAAAGCAAAACTTACCTCGGCGAAGTAGAGGTTGAGGAGGCAGAGGCTGGAGAAGAGGAGGCAGCCGGGCAGGCAGTACAGGAGCCAGTGGGCGAAGGGCTGCTGGAGGCGGAGGGCCTGCAGGGAATTCTGCAGGTAGAAGGAGAACAGCGTGGTCCTGAGGGCTGCCCAGAGCAGGCAGAGGAAGAGGCAGAGCGTGTGGTAGCTCAGCCGCCGCTCGCGGTAGCAGAGAAGCAGCCAGAGCTGCAGGTAGGCGAAGAGGAAGAGCGCTCCGTAGAGCGCCGTGTGGAGCACGGTGAGCCCCAGCTCCACGGCGTAGGGCACGGCCGCCCCCTCAGCGACGGCCATGGGGCAGCGGGAGGCACCGACCCCCTCCGTGCCTTCCCTCAGCCCCGGCTGGACACCCCCATTAAATGGGAAGAGCCCCCCCCCCCCCCCCCGCACTCCTCCTGCTCCTCCTTCTCCTCCCGCCCGCCCGGCTGCGCCGCCCGCCCGCCCGCCACCAAACAACTCTCTGCCGGGGACACCCGGCTGAGCCCGCTGATTTGAGGGGCGGCGGCGCGCGCTCCCCATTGGCCGCCCGCCGGACACGCCCCTCGCCGCGCCCGCCCGCCGCGCCGGTTGGTCGGCGCCGCCCGTCAATCACCCGCGGGCCGCCCCCGCGGGGCCGCCGCTTTGCTTCTTGGGTTGGTGACGCCCGCCCGCGATCGATCCCGCCCTCCCGGAGGGGCGGCGGAAGGAGAGAGGGGTGAGAGTGGTGAGTGGGGCGGCGAGGGGAGAGAGGGGGGGGCGGTCGGGGAAGACAGGGGAGCGAACTGGCGGTGAGGGGAGAGAGGAGCCGTGACGGGATCGAGGAGCGGAGAGGGGACGGAGGGGTGAGGGGCGCGGTGCGGGCATCGCCGAGGTGCTCCCGGAGCTGTCTGGGGGGATCTGGGCACTCCCGCGGGCTGAGGGCGGTGCGGGGACATCCCCCACTGCAGGTCGGGTCTGTGGTACTCTGGGTGTTCCATCCCTGTTCCATCCCTGCGGGTGCAGGGAGAGCTCCGGGATCCCAGCAGGGACCCCGCTGCTCAGAGGTCCCGGCTCAGGGCGGACACCCTGGATACCAGGAGGTATCCCCGGCTCAGGGATCCCAGCGCCGGGCTGGCACAGACCCACCAGCGATGGGTTTGGCATCCCCAGGTTTTCCAGCCGTGCAGCCGAGCCAC